CCATGAGAGGTCCTTCGAGATAAAAATGCTCAGAAATTTAAAAATACCAACCCTCTCCACCTCCTCACCATTTATGTACAATGGTCAATGTACATCTCTCTTCCTCCTAAAGTCAATTATAAGTTCTTTAGTTTTTTTGGTGTTAAGTGTGAGATTATTTTCTTTACACCATAATGTCAGCCCTTTGTACTTCCATTCTGTAAGTAGACTCATTGTTCTTATTAATGAGCCCCAGCACTGAATGAAGAACTATACTCCCTTTATCCCTTCCTCTTCTTAAACTTAAAAAAAAATGTGAAGAAATTAATTTAACAGCTAGTAAGATTAGCTTTAAGATAAGCTTGCCCAGCAATTTGGTCCTGTCTGTCCAGTGTAGGCTGGAAAATCAGAAATATTTTGGCTCAGGTCACAAAATTTTGGACAGGGGGATTGAATTTCAGGAATTTGGGTTTCATCCCTCAACCCTACTCTTGTCCTCAAATTCACTGATACCATAACTTCATTTTTCAAATAGAATATGTGGTGATTCTGTCTGGATCTGAATCTTTTCTTCCCTATAGACACCATTGTACATGTTCATGTGATGGTCCATTCATGGTTTTTTTTAAAAAAACAAACTCTTGCAAGATTCCAAAATCTCATAGGAATAATAGACAACGTCTTGCAAGGTCATAAGGCTTTGGGCAGTGGTGGGATGCTGCCGGTTTAACAGCCGGTTCGGTGATCACGTGCTTTGTGCGCACACACGTGCTTTGCGCGCGTGCTCAGTTTTACAAATGCTAACCTTCCATGTTACCACTTGGGAGTAACACAGCTGAGGCATGGCAATCCGCTCTGCCGCACCAACCAGCTGAAAAGATTAAGATAAGCAAAGTGCAGGGACAGGCGGGCGGGCCGACCTGATCATCGGAGCAAACCGGTTCGCTCCCAGCTGATCATCAGAGCTACCGATTTGCCCGAACCGGTCCAAACCGGTAGAATCCCACTCCTGGTTCTGAGTGTCTGGGTGTGACTGTATGTTAACATCCATGTATCTTCCATAAGATATTTCCTGAGGCTGGTCCCTTCTAGTCTTTTAGGATTTTACTTCCATAATTCCTATCCAGCATTTTGAGGTAGAATCTATGGGACTTGTAATCTAACAATTCGCTGTCTGAGGAACTACCAACAAGAGATAAAAATCTCTCTTGGTGGGGTTGATGTTTATCCAATAACTTATTGACCCAATATTTACATTTGTTTTCAGTGACTCCTGTAGCTTTTCAACATACTTAAAGAGACTTATTTTAAATATTTGTTTTGAAAACAGATTTCATTGATTTGCCTCTAAATTTTTTAAGGAGATAATCCCCTCTCTCTTTCTCATTGATATCATTTTAGAGCAGTAGTTCTTATGCATTGCTTTGCAACTTATCCATTACCAGCACCCATAAACCTGAGTTGGTGTTAGATATGCCCACAATTAGTGACAATGAAACATTAATCTTTCATTGAAAAGCTTTTCTTCCTCATAAGTAGAATTAGCCAGAATGGCCAGACATGAAAGGCAGAAGATTTAAAGAATGACAGAGCATCAAATTTCACCCATTAAGAGGAATAATCAATAGTTTTCTATTCGCTTTTCTCTTTGCTATACACACCAGACCTTCCTTTCAGTGCTTGAGTGCACTGGTAGCTCCCATTGATTTTATGCTTAAATCTCAAAGAATAGATACATCTTTGTAGAGATAATGGCACTCTTGGGAAAATAGCAAACGGGACATATAAATTATTAAACATTCATATATTTGATATCAGGATTTAATTATTCTTATAGCTTGGGCATCCATTCCTACATATATAAAAAAAGTATCATTTGAGATCCTGCATCAGATCACTGGTCTGGTCAGTGCATTCTCTTTCAAGATTTCATGCAGAATCTTGTTTGTAATCTCAGAAGTATTATCCACTAAAAAAAACAACCCACAACAAATGACTGGATGCTATTGACAACTGCTGTTTTAGTACGTAAGTTGTAATTTCATCTTTGGATCATTGAAAGTCCTTCTTAGCTATCACCATCATTTCTACCAGAAGTTTCCTGTATGACATGAATAGAGTATTTGAAAACAGAAGTCTAGAATCATTCCTATAAAGTATAATCATTCCTATAAAGATTTTAAATTTTATGGATTTGGGGGTTTTAAATTGGGAAGCTAGTGATTTAATTCTTTTTAATTATCTTAACTTTTGTATTTGTATGTTTTTTAATTTTGGCTGTTCACTGCCCTGAGTCCTTTCTGGGAGAAGGGCGGTATACAAATTAAATTAATAAATAAATAAAATAAATAAATAAAGTAAAAGCAATGTTGATTAAGTTCCATACCAAACATATAAACTGTGAAACTTACCCCCTCTTTATTTTCTTTTAATATGCTTTAAAAAGGATTTTGAAAGTACACACACATATCAAAATGAAACAGGAAAGAAATGAAAGAAGTTATCAGTCTTTCTGTAACATAGAATAGAAAAATAAATCTTAAACCTATGTTATCAGTCCAAAGTTGTAAGTATAAGGCAGTGGTGGGATTCAAAAATTTTTACTACTAGTTCTGTGGGTGTGGCTTGGTGGACGTGACATAGCTTAGTGGGCGTGGCAGGGAAAGGATACTGTAAAATCTCCATTCCCTCCCCACTCTAGGGGAAGGATACCGCAAAATCCCCACTTCCTCCCAATCAGCTGGGACTCGGGAGGCAGAGAATAGATGGGGGCAGGGGCAGTCAGAGGTGGTATTTACTTGTTCTCCGAACTACTCAAAATTTCTGCTACTAGTTCTCCAGAACTGGTCAGAACCTGCTGAATACCACCTCTGGTATAAGGTATTGTTTTCTATCTCTAAGAATCTTTTTCCTACATCCATCCTTGGTAAATCCATGGTTCTTCATCTAATGATAAATTCCAAATTTTGAATATGTAATTCAGAATCACTTTTACATTTTTACCACACATTACTCTTTTATAAACCATATTAACAAAAGGATAAAGTCTGGACTTATCTCCTCTGGCTTCAGTATTATATATATATTACATGAATATGGTAAAGAATTTGACAAAACCATTATAATTTGCAAGATTCATTTATTTAGAAAGCAAGCATGAAGTCATTCAAGATACTCTCTTTAGAATGATCAAAAACAATTTTGTGGCTTCATTATCAACAAATGAGAGGTATAGTTGAGACAGAATTAAAAAAACAGGGTTGTAAGCTCAGATACTTGGTTAAATTTGAAATATTTGTAACACAAAATGCAGAACATTTCATATACAGTATAAGTTACTATTGAAATATGATTTGGAGTCTGACCAGGTTAAAGTCTGCATGATCAAATGAATGCAGAATTCAAACAAAACAATTGATCTCACAATCTGAGTATCAATAGAAAGCAAGATTAATTTCACTGCAAATAATACATTAAGAGATCATTGACAGAAGATGTTTTTCCTCTGATATGTTACCCAGTGATGATTACTAAACAAGACATGTATTCGGGAGATTGTTAAAAATGTAAAAATCAAGTTGGACTGTTTTATTCTAAGTAATAACAAAGTAATAAAGTGCAACTATTCTGGAAGATAATAGGATGAAACAAATTGTAAATATTGACTTCCCTTTTTATCTGTTTATTATTAAAGCTTATATACTTATAACATACATAGTGTATATAAAGGATAACTGTCATCAAGATATTTTAGGCTTTTCAGTGGAAATCACATTTAACTTCTTTGTTAAATGCATGGCAGTTTAAACTATGGAAGCATGAAAGTATGTCTAAAATTATATGAAAACGAAGTTTGATGTTAGCGTCAACTTCATCTAAAAGTCACTTATATAAAGTATAATTCTATGCATGGTACAAGAAGAAGAAAACATATGTAGCACTTATGGAGTCTTAAGTGTTCTCTGAGCTTGATTGTCGGACTCCACAATTCTATATATGGGTTAGTGCCATAACTGAGATTTGGGTTTTCTTAAAATAAAGGTTCTAAATGCTTTGATTATGATTGCTTGTTTTTTTTAATTGGATACCCCTCTCGGGTATTTTACAATTTTATATTAATAATACTGAAACAAAGCAGTTTTCAAAGTGTTAAAAACATTAAATTGCTGTCAACACACCTTTTTATTATTTTAATCCAAGCTGATATATAAGGACACTATAAAGTGAGATGTTTCTTCCAATGCAGTAGTTTCTATTTCCTTTTAATCTTTATTAAAGATTAATAAAGATCTTTTAATCTTTATTATTCTGCAAACCTTCCCATGCAAATTTTTGTATATTTGGTGGCACAGTGGTTATAGTGCAGTATTTCAGGCAAATTATTTAGTGGTGAGGTGGCCTAGAGGTGGAGCTCTCGCCTCACAATCAGGAAGTCAGTGAGTTCGATCCTAGGTAGAGGCAGATATTTCTCTCTCTGGGCATGATGAGAATTTATCTGCTGAACAAAACTCCACATTGGCGACAGGAAGGGCATCCTGCCAGTAAATACTCAGCTCCATTCAGTTGTCCAGACTCCACCCCGCAAGGGATTATGGGGTTGTTAAAAGAAGATGATTTCAGGCAAATTCTTCCCACAGCCTGGAGTTTGATCCTGATGTAGCTCAAGGTTGACTCCATCCTTCTGAAGTCAATAAAATGCAAACCCACATTGTTGGAGACAATATACAAATAATACTTACCACCCAGAGATTTCTGTAAAGTGGTATGGGGTGGTATATAACCATAAATGCTATTGCTAATGTTATTGCTATTTCTGTAATTTCTATGTATTTTTCTTTGCTTTTAAAAATATATATTTTTGCTTATACTTTCATCAGACAAAGCCCCCATTCCTGAATTGTAATAAAAATTAATTTAGGCCAGAGATGAATGGGTTCATTGACTTCTATGGGGAACAGGCATTTTATTCACAAGTCTGTTCTCTTTTTTTTTCCCTCCTCATTCCCTTTTGCCTGTTTCAGTTGATTTAGACAGGCTGAACGATGAGGCAAAGCGTTACAGCTGCACTCCGAGGAATTACTCTGTCAACGTTAGGGAGGAGCTGAAGCAAAGCAATGCCGTCTTTTTCCCTCGCTGCCTCCTTGTCCAGCGCTGTGGAGGAAACTGTGGTTGTGGAACAACAAACGGGAAATGCGCTTGTACGGCAGGAAAACTGGTGAAGAAGTATCACGAGGTATCTTGTTTTTTATGTCATTTGTTTTTTTAAAAAGTGTATGTACCTCAACTGCCACTGTCGTCTTCTTCTTCTTTTTTCTTTTTTTTTGAGCTGAAGATAAGTCCTTGACTTACGACCACAATTGAGCCCCAAATTTATGTTGCTAAGCGAGATGGTTGTTAAGTGAGTTTTGCCCCATTTTACGACCTGTTGACAAACAGTCGTTAAGTGAATCATTGCAATTGTTAAGCAAGTAACAGGGTAGGTAACAGAGGTGGTATTCAGCTAATTCGGACCAGTTCAGGCAAACCGGTAGCGGAAATTTTAATTAGTTCGGAAGTGACTCCGCCTTCCCCGTCGACTTCGCTAGTCAGTGGGTTGAAAAATGTGATCATGTGACCTTGTGACATTGCAACCGTCATAAATATGAACCATTTGTCAAGCATGCGGATTTTGATCATGGGACCACGGGCATGCTGCAACAGTCGTAAGTATGAAAACAGTCCTAAGTTACTTTAGATAAATGCACATTTGGATGGTTCTGATTGGCATATTTTCTTCCTTCCTAGAATACTGGCACCTCTCCCAAATCATTAACTGCACTAAAATTTACTAATGACAGTCAAGCTGGACATGTCCCATAAATATATCTCTTCTATAAAGACAAAACCACTATGAATTTTTATGCCAAAACACTGTGACAGCTGATTCAGTATTTTCTTTTTAAAAAAAAAATTCTGAGGGATGCAACCATTTAAATAATGAAGTGAGGGCAAGATAGGGTCTTATGTCAGGAAAAGGTATAATTGGGGTTAGCAGGTCATTCTGGCACTGTTGTAAATTGCAGGCCAAGAGTGGCTATTTGTCCTCCTCGTAAGATAAAGCAGTGAGAAAAAGTCTCTTTTGTTCTATATATTCATTGGAGTAATAGTGTGAGGGAAGAATGTATTGTATCAGTTGTCTCCTAGTCTTGCTTCTGGGTCTTTGTAGACAAGTAGGTAGGAACAAAAAGCATGAAGATGGTGGTTAAAATGAACAAATACCATTTAAAATAAACTTTAGCAAAGCAAAGACTGTTTCCCTGCTTCAATGCTCCTCTTTCAAGGGATGTGAGTGCTGAATTGACTTTAGGAGCAGGATATGTTCAGGCCAATGGCAATAGAATAGAATAGAATAGAATAGAATAGAATAGAATAGAATAGAATAGAATAGAATAGAATAGAATAGAATAGAATAGAATAGAATAGAATAGAACAGAACAGATATTTTTATTGGCCAAGTGTGATTGGACACACAAGGAATTTGTCTTGGTGCATACGCTCTCAGTGTACATAAAAGAAAAGATACGTTCATCAAGAATCATAGGGTACAACACTTAATGATAGTCATAGGGTACAAATAAGCAATCAGGAAACAATATCAATATAATATATGGCTGTGGCCAGGGGGGCTTTTTATCAGGTTCGCCTGATCCACCAGTTGCATCCCTTTCTGGATCGGGATGCCTTACACACGATCACTCATGCCCTCATCATGTCCCGCTTGGACTACTGTAATGCTCCCTACATGGGGCTCCCCTTGAGGAGCACCCGGAGGCTCCAACTGGTCCAGAATGCGGCCGCGTGGGTGGTGATGGGGGCGACTTGGCGCTCCCATGTAACACCTCTCCTGGGCGAGCTGCACTGGCTCCCAGTGGTCTTCCGGGTGCGCTTCAAGGTATTGGTTACCACCTTTAGAGTGCTCCATGGCTTAGGACCCGGGTATTTACGAGACCGCCTTCTGCTGCCAGTAGCCTCCCACCGACTAGGAGCCCACAGAGAGGGGCTCCTCAGGGTGCCGTCGGCCAAACAATGTCGGCTGGTGGCCCCCAGGGGGAGAGCCTTCTCTGTGGGGGCACCTACCTGCTGGAACGAGTTGCCCCCGGAGATACGGCAGATTCCAGATCTGCGCACTTTCCGCCGTGCCTTAAAGACATTTTTGTTTCATCAAGCCGGGCTGACCTGACCTAACTTTTTAAATTGTTTTAATTTTAAATTGTTAAATTATGGGTTTTAATATAGGGGTGTTTTAACCGTGGGCCAAATTAATTTAATCGGATTTTAATATTGTTTTAATTTTTGTATATTCTGTATTTTATCTGCTGGCTATTCACCGCCCCGAGCCCTTTGGGAGAAGGGCGGTATATAAATATAATAAACATAACATAACAAACATTATAATAAACATAAATCGTAAGGATACAAGCAACAAACTTACAGTCATACTGTCATAAGTGGAAGGAGATGGGTGATAGGAACAATGAGAAGATTAATAGCAGTGCAGGCTTAGTGAATAGTTTGACAGTATTGAGGGAATTATTTGTTTAGCAGAGCGTTCGGGAAAAAAAACTGTTCTTGTGTCTAGTTGTTCTGGTGTGCAGTGCTCTGTAGTGTCGTTTTGAGGGTAGGAGTTGAAACAGTTGATGTCCAGGATGCAAGGGGTCTGTAGATATTTTCACAGCCCTCTTTTTGACTCGTGGAATATACAGGTCTTCAGTGGAAGGCAGGTTGGTAGCAATTGTTTTTTCTGCAGTTCTAATTATCCTCTGAAGTCTGTGTGTGTCTTGTTGGGTTGCAGAGCCAAACCAGACAGTTATAGAGGTGCAGATGACAGATTGTACCAACAGATTTGTACAGATTGCCTGGGCTAGAGATGTGGAGAAATTTCTAAAAAGCAGTATGAATTTATTGTATGGACAGAAGCAGGAAAAATAAATACCTACCTCATAGCCAAAGGTTAATATCATTTATGATGGATCTGCTGAATTTTAACAGTTGACGTATCAGATAGTAACCGGTGGAATGATTATATGGTCAGTTCCATGCGGGAAGTCCTATATTCCATAAATTCAGGGAATTTATTTATCAGATGTGCCATAGGACTATTTCCATTCTTATGATATTACCGATTAATATTATTAAGGAGGATGTTCTAGCTTCAGCTTCAAATGACCGGGCAATGGTAAATTTTGATGTCCTGTATATATATCCTTTACTGCTGAATTAACAGTACAATGAGTATAAATCTAATATTAATAGAACCTATGAAAATAAATCTATTTTGGATACATCGAAGGTAAGATTAATGTGAAATCAGGAACGTTTCGTTCATTTTTTCTTCTTCTCTTCTCCTACCATTATAGAATGTTAAGGAGCCTGATAGAACTATGGAAAATGTCTGAAAATTGTCTGTCCATAATTATAACTAGCATTTTTGCCCAGTTGACTGGCAGTCCACCTTGTGGTTGTTTTATCGCATGCTTGCTTGGTCACCATTTTACATTTTGTATTTAGATATTGTTTGTTGTTAAATAGTTTTATTTCTTTTTTTTCTCCTTTTTTGATTTATTTGATTATTTGTACAATGCCCAGAGTCACACTGTCTGAGTTGGGCAGCCTTATATTATCAGAATAATTGTAGATTATTATAAATTCTATAACACTGAAATCCCTAATTATGAAGGGATAATATTCTGTTTATTCCAGATCTGGAAGGAAACTAGTCAATACTGAAATAATGTGTAGTATGAGTATTTTTTTTTCAATCTTACATGGCCCAAAATGTTCGTAAACAACATAGTGCATTAATTTACTAGACACATGTTTCTAAAACAGTATCTCCTGTCCTTCTTTATTGTGTCAATGCAATGCTCTCCAGAAGCTTCTTTGTGCTGGTCAGCTTCACTTTAGGGAAAGTTCAACACAATAGATCTCTTGTTTGACCGCTGTGACAATTAGGATAGCCTTTTGCTGGTAGTTGTTCACCTTCACCACAGCTTTGACTCTTCATGGGCAGACCCATTGTGGTGATAAGGGGACATGTCTTACCAAGTTACCTGGGACTCCTTCTGGCCTGTGGACTCTAAAGGGGAAAATACTCCATCACTTGTTCCAGCCATTTGACCTAAGAAGACCAAGTTGAGCCAAGGAGCAGATCCTAAATTCAGAAGAAGGTAGTTCCAGCAGCCTTGAAAGATAACTGCCATAAAGAGGAAAAATGGAATAGAGAAGGATACCCTCATGAAAGGCCGAAGAGACATTGAAACACTATCCCTTTATCTTGCTTATATAATATTACAAAATAAGGTTACAGCAGTATTCCAGTATTTGAGGAGCTGCCACAAAGAAGAGGGGGTCAAGCTATTTTACAAAACACTTGAGGGCCAGACAAGGAATAATGGATGGAAACTGATCAAGGAGAGATTCAACCTGGAAATAAGGAGGAACTTTCTGACAGTGAGAACAATCAACCAATGGAACAGAAGTTACCTTCAGAAGTTGTGGGAACTTCATCACTGGAAGCTTTCAAGAAAAGATTGGACTGCCATTTGTCAGAAATGGTGTAGGGTCTCCGGTTTAGATGGGGGGTTGGACTAGATGACCTATAAGGTCCCTTCCAACTCTGTTAATCTGTTATATACAGTATTTCTCAGTGAGAATAAGTCCTTTAGAGTGGCATTTGCCACAGATATATTAATAGAGGAATGTGAGCGAGTGAATGCCAGTGAAACTAAGATAACTGCAAATAGCCTGATCATCCATCCCTAATGATAAACCACAATTCTCAACACAATTTCAACTCTGGCCCTCAAATTTAATTTATTTCCATATAAACTTCATTTTAAAAATCCTCAATTCATCCAGTGGACTGTTCAACCCTCACTAGTGAATAAAAAAGGTGTTTTTTTTTGGTTTTTTTTAAGAGGAACAGAAATATAAAGAGTGATGGAGTTTGTACGTTAAGTCAATTCTTCACTAAAGGAAAGTACCTAAGTAAAACCCTTCAGGGGTTTTCAGTGGAGTCACAAGACAGAAATTCTGGACAGGCTCATATTTTTCTCCTTCTTCTATATTGTCAATTCTATGGGAACACATAAGGACATCATAATATTTTATATTCCTATAAACCTGGCATACCAGTTGTACTTTCCATCTCAGTTTTATTATCATGAGTCTACATTCAGGACTGATATGGCCTTCAACGTATTAAGGGCTCATGAGAAGAATGTTTTCTTAGGGGCTCCATAGTTACTTACTGTAGTAATTCATTAGAACTAGCATTTGTGCCTCACATCTTAGATCATTAGTGGTTGCTACCTTCACTGTTTTACTACCACTACTTTTCCTACCTCGGACATAAAGTTGTACATTCTCTTGTGCCTCCTTTTCTTCAAATTCTCCATTCACATATACACATTGTACACACTTTTGACCAAAGTCCAAAAACTGCAATCTTTCTCATAGGGGAATTGTTCCAGCCCCTTGACTATTTTGGTTACCCTTAGGTAAAGGTAAAGATTCCCCTCGCACATATGTGCTAGTCATTCCTGACTCTAGGGGGTGGTGCTCATCTCCGTTTCAAAGCCAAGGAGCCTGTGCTGTCTGAAGACGTCTCCTTGGTCATGTGGCCGGCATGACTAAATGCCAAAGGCGCATGGAATGCTGTTACTGTCCCATCAAAGGTGGTCCCTATTTTTCTACTTGCATTTTTTATGGGCTTTTGAACTGCTAGGTTGGCAGAAGTGGGACAAGTAACGGGAGCTCACCCCATTACGCGGCACTAGGGATTCGAACCGCTGAACTGCTGACCTTTCAATCAACAAGCTCAGTATCTTAGTCACTGAGCCACCACGTCCCCTGCATTACCCTTATCCATCTTCTTTTCAGTTATACAGTTTCCTTTTTGGAGATGGGATGATCAAAATCATAGGGCTGGGGTGGAAAAAAGCAACAAAGCCACTGAATTTAATCCCTTATTCGTTGCAGGAAACCAGATTAAAACTTCCAAAGAACCAAACTCTTCTTTGTTTCTGGCAAAGAAACTTCCATCATTCCACTAAGGAATTCTCTCCACTACCAATTTGCCCTATTTATATTCCAAAGAAGGGATTGGTGAAATGATGAGTGAGAGTGAAAATTATGAAAGTCCAAACTAGTTATAGTTACAATAAGTATCTTCTATCTTTTTTCAGTTGTGGGTTCATATGCCTCAAGTAGAGATTTTGTAATGATAAAATAGAATAGAGTTGGAAGGGACCTTGGAGGTCTTCTAGTCCAACCCCTGTTTAGGCAGGAAAGCCTACATCACTTCAGATAAATGGTTATCCAACATCTTCTTAAAAACTTCCAGTGTGGGAGCATTCACAACTTCTGGAGGCAAGTTGTTCCAGAAGTTATGATTAGGCATCATTTCTCTCTTTTTTGGGGGGCGGGGTCCACATTTTTTATCCCAGTTATCACCACCTCCTTTCTTCTCCTCCATTTCCTCATCCTCCTTTCTCTTTTCTTCTTCTCCTCCCTTTTCCTTTCTCCCTTTTCTGCTCTCCTAAGAATGATTACCAGGGAAGAGAGAAATCACATTTACTAAACATTCTGACCGAGCACCTCAAAATTGATGAAATGATCTTGTAATTAATCCAAGGGGTTCATACAGTTTTACAGTCATCGCCTCCCCTTTCCTATACTTCTAAAATACCTGGAGGATCCTAGATGTAAGTTGATGGAGGGAAAAAAGCTTCTTTTGAACTTGAACTAGACATGCACCAGATCAATATAACGTCCAGAAATATTTTACTAGAAGAGTACTCAAATCATCTGCTCGAAATAAAATTCCCTATCCCACCAGGCTTGAAATTTTAGATCTGGATAGCTTCGAACTACGCCATCTACATTCTGACCTATGCTTAGTGCATAAGATTATTTACCAAAACGTTCTACCTGTAAATGAGTACTTTAATTTCAACCATAATAACACAAGGGCTATCAATAGATTCAAACTCAATGTAAATCGCTCTAATCTTGATTGTAGGAAATAAGCAATAGAGTAGTAAATGTCTGGAACACTCTACCTGATCCTGCTGTTAGTCTCTCTAATCTCCATACCTTTTATCTTAAACTGTCTACTGTGGACCTTTCATGTTTCTTAAGAGGTCCCTAAGGGGGCATGCATAAGTGCACCAGCGTGCCTTCTGTCCCTGTCCTACTGTCCCCATTTATATGTAATCATTCTATGTGTTTATGGCTATGTTTTGCCTATTTATATCCTTTTATTTGTGCCAGTTTTTTTTAAATGTTTTTATTTATTTTATTTATTTATTTTAATTTGATTTATATGCCGCCCTTCTCCAGAGACTCAGGGCGGCTTACAATGCGTTAAGCAATAGTCTTCATACTTTTGTATATTTATACCAAGTCAGCTTATTGCCCCCACAAACTGGGTCCTCAATTTACCTACCTTAGAAAGGATGGAAGGCTGAGTCAACCTTGAGCCTGGCGAGATTCGAACCTGCAGTAATTGCAGGCAGCTGGTCTTAATAACAGGGTGCTTTAGACCACAGTACTACCAAGGCTAGACATGTGTCCATGTCTATGTCTATAATGTTACTTGTTTCCTTGTCCTTGTTGACAAATAAATAAATAAATAAACAATAAAATAAAATAAAATAAAATAAATAAATAAATATCTAATCAAAGGCTGAAGAATAATATTACCTTTCCACATTATTGAGAGATGGTGTGCCTAGAAGGTTCCTACATGTTCTAATTACCTTCTGATTCCTTTTTTTTTTTTTATTTAACTAGGTGCTGAGATTTATCCCTGAAGCAGGTCATCTCAGGAGGAGGGGCAAAACCAAGCACAATATGTCACTGATCGATATTCAGCTGGAGCACCACGAACGTTGCGACTGTGTCTGCAGTGCAAGGCCACCGCGATAAAAGAAAAAAACAACCCAGAGCATCTGGTTTGATGCGCAACTTAAAAAGGACCTCTTTCTCTTGGGAGAAGGAGCTGTCCAATGCTGATTTGCCCAGCGAACTATGCTAAAAGCCTGCCTCCATAGCCTTTTGATTCGAAGTGCTAAATGCCATGACAGCTTACCTTTAATAAAGCAGATTGACAACTCTGAAATGCAAATCTGGGATTGAGTTTAGAAAACAAATGAACTCGAGGGCTGAATGTTTTCAGGCTTACGATGAAAATCGGGCTGCATGATGGCAGCGCTCCTTTGGCTGAATTCTTAGCTGGCTTTTACAATTCTTCATGCGTGCATGTACTCACAACACTTTTGCACAAAATCCTTTGCACAAACACACTTAAGCACATTTACAGGCCAACTTAAGGAAAAAGGAAATCCTGTATGGGCAAAATGGCTAATTTATAGACAGCCACCAACACATACAGGTATATTAGGTTTACAGAACCCCGGTGCTGCAGTAGAAATATAAAAGTAGCAATAATGTCTAGCATCTAGCCATACAGGCATCACACTAGATATACGCATTACAGTAGTCCGATCACAGCAAGTGAGTTTGAACGTTAAGCAAGCTGGATCCAAGGCGGTTACAGTCCACATAGGTAGTCCTTGATTTATGACCACAGTTGGGACCAGAACTTCCATTACTAAGCAATAGAGTCATTAAACGACTCATCACATTATTGTACCTCATTTTATGATCTTTTTTGCCATGGTCATTAAAAGCAAATCACATGGTCTTTACATGAATTTGGCTTTACTCCTTGGCTTTGCTCATCAGAAGCCAGCTGGGGAGATTTCACATGACTTCAGGATGCTGCAACCATTGTAAATACGTGCCGGTTGCAAAATCTCCAGAATCATGATCACATGACCGCAAGGACACTGCAGCAGTCATAAGTGTGAGGACCAGTCATTAAGTCACCGGTTTTTTTTCCAGCACCATCATAACTTTGAATGGTCACTAAATGAATGGTTGTAAATCAAGGACTACCTGTATATAACCTCAAGTTGGAGGAGAAAAGCTACACTGAAGCCTTCAACAGATCATTGAGCTGAAAGGAAGTGATATACTCAATCACCTAATTCAGTGGTTATAACTTTGACAAGCTCTTCACTTCTGAATTTCATGCCGATCTGATTTAGACAAACCAAATAGTGCATACATTTTTTTTTCCAAATGCAATAGTTTTGAGTTCAAAATGGGCTGTTCCATCCTATGAGGGCTGTTTCAAACTGAGAATATTTGTGGTCTAATTGGAATAGCTTGCTGGGAGTCTAAAATAACCTCTCTCAATTTCAAAATATATTTCCAATTAATCCTTTGCCCATTCCTAACAAGGACATAGAACTCTAGACATAAAGAAGCAAGGCATCTAACTAAAAATCCAAATAAAATGTATCTCGTTTAGTGAGGCCACTAGCAGATCCAAAAGTTGGAGCTGGGATTTCTTGCTTCTCTCTCCTTCTCTCCCATTTTATATAATATTTTATCTGCTAATGTGTTCAAACTGGATTTAATTCTAATAAACTTGTCATTCGAATAACAAAGCTTGCCATTCATATACTGTAACGTAACCTTTCCCAAACTGGATTCTTCTAGCTACTCTGGACTATAATATCTAGACAGCTTTTAGCCCATAAACTGTAGACCAAACTGTCAAAACTAGCTGGAACAGGAACTGTAGTGAAGATATGTGAAAGACAGAAGATTGGTATACAGGTAATCTTCGACTTACATCACGATTGAGCTCAAAACTTCCATTGCTAAGCAAGGTAGTTGTTAAGTGAGTTTTGCCTCCGTTTTTACCATTGTTCTTGGGTCAGCGTTTCAGAACAACCCAACACTTGTTAAGTGAATCAATGCAGTTGTTAAATTAGTAACCCAGCTGTTAAGCGAATCTGGCTTCCCCCTTGACTATGCTAGTTAGAACATCACAAACTGTGACCCAGGAACATTGCAACTGTCATGAGTTGGGTGCCAAGCATCTCAATTTCAATCACGTGACCATGGGGAAATGATCAAGTGTGAAAAGTCCTTTTTTTTCAGTGTTGCCATAACTTTGAATGGTCACTAAATGAATTGTTGTAAGGTTTAGCTGTATAGCTCTCGAGAGTTCAAAAAGGCCTCATATGCTTTTTTGGTAAGGCCATGGAGGGTTTCAAGTCTGAAGTCCATAAGATGCTTCACAGCACACAAGAACGAAACATGTACCATGTTTCCCCGAAAATAAGACCCTGTCTTATATTTTTTTTAAACCCTGAAATAAGTACTTGGCCTTATTGCCATGCGCTCAAAAGCCCGATTGGGCTTATTATCAGAGGATGTCTTATTTTGGGGGAAACAGGATACCTAGCATCTTTTTGCCTTTGAATAGAAAGTGCTGAATAATATTATTTAGCTGCAATCTTCACAATAATTGCCAAATCAATATTTTTACGCTTCAAAAGCCGCCCCATAGCTGATACAGCATTTCCACAACAAAGATGAGATCCATACCGTTGACTTCTAGTTATGGCTTCAGAAGGGCAGATTTAAAAATCAGTATAATTTTAAGTACATGCAGAATGCAATATTCCTTACATTACACAAAACAGTATTAGTTAACTGCCATCAGTAATAGTTCCCATGGCTGCCTGTAATTTCCTGGGACTTAAAAAAAAAAAGAATAATTGGAATTGTATTTTGAATAAGTAATTTATTGCCTTGAGCCTTACTTAGTTTTGCAAACTAAATGTTTATTGGGTTCATACAATATTAATAACATTCATTTAGTTCCTGGCTGTTGATAAGGGATTTGAAAAGGGTTCCTGTGGTTGTGAACCTCTAATAGGAAAGTTCCTTGATTGACTATATTTTCCAATTATTTTGTATGCGTATGTGTTCTGTACTTGTTAAATGCACACATATACTGACTCATTTCTTGTCTGAGATGTCTAAATAAAAGTGTAAGGCAGTTCATGGTTAAGAGAACTGAATGCTTGATTTTAAATGTAAAGGAGAAAATAGGTAGAAGGCTTCCACTGATAAAATTACACTTTATTTTTCTATATTGTTTTCTGATTCCATGTTTAAAGGGGAAAAAATTGGTTTTACAATAGCATTTCATGTATAAAATTAAATTTGGCTTCTTATCGGGTAATATTGTTAATTTCTAAACCACTATTGTTCTGCTATTCTCTAACTTCTCTAAGTTGGTTCCTTTTATTAAGCTGAATGTTTTATCTGGCTTTCTTGTTAACTTCATCAAATTCTTCCTGAAATACAAAATTCAAATTTTGAAGAAGTTACCACTTCCTATTGTAATGAAACACTGGAGAACGTAAATATTTCTTCTGTGTTTCTTTGTTTTCCTTTCTTTCCATGAAATCTGCTTGTCTCTTTACTCCGTTACCTTTTGAGGCGCTTAATTTAGTACACAAATTTTATTTTAAAGGAGTAGTTATTACGTCAAAGAAGCCTTATATTTTAAAAAGATTATTCCCTAAATACCTTGGTCAACATTTCCCATGTTTCCACATGAAAACCGAGAAAGTGGCATATTGAACTGGTTCCTTTATCACCTGTAATGGAAATTATTAACTAAACCATAGTTAATAGTTTAGTTAAAAGCAATTGTTTAGTTAACTAAACTATTGCTGATACTGTTTAACTGGATTATGACTTTGATGTAGCTTGACTAGAGCTTTGAATATAAGCATTCAGTAAATAAAAGCAGGCCAAATATTACAAACTAATCCTTAATTAATTACAGTCTTTCAGTAACATTTCTGGCAACTTCAGCATGATGACATTGGTCTAGTAAACTCATCATGTGGTGTAATGCACTGAATTTACTACATTTTGAAAATAACTGTTAATATTACAACTATTTAGTGGTGGGTTCAGTCATTTCTTTCTTAACTAAGGCATGTTTTGGGCAAAAGAGAGAAAGGGGGAGAATTCAATCCATTTGACAGTTTGATTCAGTTCATAACAGATAGAAAAACCCAGTTACTCCCAAGTATTAAACATAATTGGAGAAACATAATGGTCAAATGCACGTGTCCAAGGGGAGGGCAAATGGAAAAATTCATATTGCAATTTCACCCCTGGGGCTTCCTTTGAAGACATTTTGCCTCTCATCCAAGAAGCTTCTTCAGTTCTTTGGAAGAATTCTTGGATGAGAAGCGAAACGCCTTCAAGCAAACACAAAGAAAGTCCAATTGCCTTTTGAAAAAGCACCTGTGGGACAACCATGACTTGGATGATTGAGAATCTCCGTAGACACCTAGACAGTATAAGAGGCACTGCTAGTGTCATGGTATCATTGTGCACGTTTCATTAATCTGATGAAAACTCCAAATATAGTTGATGCATTAGGTCAACTGACTGATTATATGGCAATGCTTTCTAAGTATCTTTCCGTAGTAAATGTACAAAGCAAACAAGATATTTAAAATCAAGAACAGGAAAAGCCAGTAGAAACTAATTAGCTGTGGAGAAGAAAATATTGATATTATATGAATGTGACCTGCCAGCAAAAATAAAGGAGTTTTCAGAGAAATGTGGTAGGCTATAATTACCATCATCACAACCATCACAAGAAAGAGTTGGGATTATATAAATATGTATATATGAGCTTAATCACAGATATTGTGCCTGTTTTCCAGGACACTACATTCTACACTACAACTATACTACAAATTAGCATTTGAATTGACCCACATTCTTAGGGAAAACAAGAATCATTGATGTAAATAAGCAAAACGCACAGTGTAGCTTCCTCCAATGTCTCTCTCTTGTGTCAACATATTCTGTCCATAAGAGCCAAGGTGGCACAGTGGTTAGAATGCAGAATTGCAGGCTACTTCTGCTGACTGCCAGCTGCCTGCAATTTGGCAGTTCGAATCTCACCAGGCTCAAGGTTGACTCAACCTTCCATCCTTCCAAGGTTGATAAAATGAGGACCCAGATTGTTGGGGACAATATGCTGACTCTGTAAACCGCTTAGAGAGAACTGTAAAACACTGTGAAGCAGTATATAAGTCTAAGTGCTATTGCTAGTGCTATATTAGCATAGACTAGATTGCTCATATATAATGGTCCATGTAAGATGAGTGAGATCCTATATACATACTCAACGCCTAGAGATGTCTAGATATTCCAAAACTATCAGCATATCATGTTGTGCTAGCTCAGAAAGTAGGCATCCACTTGATCTTCTACTATGCCATTTGAATCCGGTTATTTTGCAGGATTGCACTTTCAAAAAAGCAATACTGTGGTTTATATCAAGTTGATAAGGCAAATTGATAGCCCAGGCACGGAAATGGATGATCCCACTGAAAATTATTGATCATATGTTTTCATCACAATCCTCTCAAAAGTTCTCCTACCCCACTGCTGGAGCTGTATAAAAGCAAAGCAAACAATGCAATATGTACTGAGATTATGAAGTATTCTGTCTCTCTTTATGTGTATGTGTCTCTTTTTTTTTTATATTAGATCTCTTGTACAAATGCAATTTTTCAATGCTTCTGGAAATAGGATTGGGGGGAAAAATCACTGTAATCTTGTTAGGAGCAAATTTGCTATCTTGTGCAATTTATATATGTATTGTTGTTTTTGTTATTGTATCCCTAAAATGCTGCCTTTTATAGAGTGAACACTTCAGTAGTACAGCACATATAATTGTGTTTTAAAGTCAATTACAAATAAACAAGCTTTTGAAGGAAGAATGCTGGATTTATTAATATGTGTCCGTGTTATTCAATTCTGCTGATGGGGCAATTTAAGCAGTATTCTTTGTTCTTTTATCTTCTTAGTCAGCAAGTGCCCAATTTCATGCAAAGCTTTAGACTTTACACAATTTCCTTTCCTCTAAACTAATCCAAATTTATTCCCAATCATCCACAGTTCATGAAATCAGAGGATAAAAACACCCCTTTCCCCTAAATTATGGATACTTGTTTTTAACCATCACAGGGCCAACAATAGCAAAATATAAGTCCTAACATCTCAATACAGACTGTAACCTTTTGCAGTGACAATGGGATAACTCTCACAAGTGTCAAGAGGCAGAATTTGTATCACACTATTTGCTCCTTCTCACCCCACAAAGAGATCTATCATGCCTAACAATTGCTTTTCACTAGAAGAGACAAATAGTTTGATTTGATAGAAGCAACTTGTTATTTAAAACAGCCATTTGTTCATGCAGCCATGAGGACTAATCAGCTGTTGCATTTTTGAAAGAACAGAATAGCTATATGCACAGCACAAAGAAGTCACAATCAAGAGGACCCATAATCAAGCATGAGAGGTGGCATTCAATCTGGCATATCAATATAACTCTACAATACACTTTTACATATAGGCTGATATTGCAGGCTGTCTGGCTTCTTAAATCTGCCAAACCTGATTTGCTAGCAAGTGGCTCACTAAGATTGAAAATACAAAATAATAGAGTTGCAAGGGACCTTGGAGGTCTTCTAGTCCAACCCCCTGATCAGTCAGGAAACCCTGTATCATTTCAGACAAATGATTGTCCAATCTCATCTTAAAAACTTCCAGTGTTGGAGCATTCACAACTTCTGAAGGCAATTTGTTCCACCGTTCTCACTGTTAGGAAATTTCTCCTTAGTTCTAGGTTGCTTCTCTCCTTGATTAATTTCCATCCATTGTTTCTTGTCCTGCCTTCAAGTGCTTTGGAGAATAAGTTGACCTTCTTTTCTTTGTGGCAACCCCTGAGATATTGGAAGATGGCTATCATGTCACCCCTAGTCCTTCTTTTCATTAAACTAGACATACCTAATTACAGCAACCATTCTTTATATGTTTTAGCCTCCAGTTCCCTAATCATCTTTGTTGCTCAATTCTCATTATATAGTGATGGAAGATCATTTTTGAATTCAAAAAATCCCAGGTTCAGTTCTCAATGTGTCTCCTTTAGATAGCATTCGTTTACGTATAGTATACAAACACTTGATATCACAAGCTTTCCTACTTCCTATTACTATAATAATAATAATAATAATACTAATAATAATAATAATAATAATAATAATAATAATAATAATAATAATAATTTACTTTATTCATTAAACATGAAACACAGTCAACTGAACATTCAAAAATGCATCACAAATACCATTGACTGGTGCTAATAGTTGATATGGGTTGCTGCCAGCATTCTAGGTATCAACCAAGTACCTTCTTAAGATGTACAATGTTCCAAGTAGCGCAGTTTTTGGCAATTCCGCTGGTGTTATTGCAGGAAGCTGCAATTTCTTGATGTGTTTTGTAAAATTCTTAGATATGGTACCAAGTGCCCCAATGACAATGACGATTTCTCCATTTTCTTCGGTTGTCCAAGCTTTGCGCTTTTGTCCCAGTCACTTTACAATTGCACGCCCTGGTTCCCCAGCAGTAGCAACTGAGCCCTGTAGCCCATTTTTCGGCAGATGTCCAGGAGCCATAGCATCTGATGCAGTCCTGGTTGATCTGGGCGACGACTGATCCGGTATAGAATTTTGTTGATTTCTTCTCATCATTGGTGATGGTAGATGCTTCGGTTGGTTCACGGTGGCTAAGCCACTACCGATCTGAAGACTGGCATTCCCATAACCATAGGGATCACACCCAGTAACCATCGAGGCCCAACCACGGGATAGCCATCCAGGCCCAGCCATGGGGTTGTTGTTGTTGTTGTTGTTGTTATTTGTAAATAACATGAAGTCACACCTGCCAGTTTTTAGCTGGAGTTGTCCTTCATAGGCATAGGATTCTTCCCAAGTATCTAGGATGTGGTAATGTGTATGTGGCCTTTTGCAATTAACAGAACTTTTGTCAATGCCCAGATTTTCAAAGTGCTGTCCAAAATATTTTGGCATGGCACCAAGTGTGCCAATAACCACTAGGACCACCGCAGCTGGATTTTGCTCCAATCTTTCAACTTCAATTTTCATTTCTTGATTCTTTGTGGTCTTCTCCATGGCGTAAGACCCGGGTACCTTCGAGACCGACTTCTGCTACCAGTAGCCTCCCACCGGCCAGTCCGCTCCCACAGAGAGGGGCTCCTCGGGGTGCCATCGGCCAAGGTATGTTGGCTGGCGACACCCAGGGGGAGGGCCTTCTCTGTGGGAGCTTCTGCCCTATGGAATGAACTGCCCCCGGAATTGCGCAAGATCTCCAACCTCCGTGTATTTCGCTGTGCCTTCAAGACCCTGCTGTTCTGCCAGGCCGGGCTATCAAAGTAAATGATTTTAAATTGGGCGTTTTAAATTTTTGGGTTTTAATTTAGGCCGAAATTATTTAATAATTTTAATTATTTTTTAATTGATATCCGTATATTTTTGTGTTTTTAATAGGCTGTACACCACCCTGAGTCCTTCGGGAGAAGGGCGGTATAGAAATAAAATTATTATTATTATTATTATTATTATTATTATTATTATTATTATTATTATTATTATTATTATTATTATTATTATTATTATTATTTCTTTGTCTTCTAATCTACTGTCTCCTGATTTTGCCACTTCACTTATCCACACATGCTGAAGATGATTCATTGCACAGTTAGCCAAGTGTTCGCACTGGATTTGGTATTTTGTTGATATACTGTTTAATCTGAGGAAAAAACATATCAAATCTTTAGGTACATGGGAGGTGAAAAGGAAGCAGTGGCTACATAAAACTCTTCGGGTGAGAGAAAATTTTCATCAGATTTCATCAAATCTTGCAGGATCCCTTTTGCCATCCACAGCTCCAGATGCAGACAGCATGAATATATGCAATTTCTGTAGCAAGCAAGCATAAAGTGGAAAGTAACAGACATCAAACAGGTCAAAGGGGGATTAGGAATGTTTTTTTCAGGTGCCTAATCTAGTCTTTAAAATGCAACGTCATTTATGAGAACTTACTCTGTCCCTGACCAGCCAGAACAATTTATTCCTCTCTTCTACTATTTCTATCACATCCTTCCCCAAAATGAGTTCAAAAGCAGCTTACATAATTAAAGTACTGCCACATTAAAAGCACATAATAATAGAATTGGCAACAACACAGAGCCCTCAGCAACATTGAATGAATGCTAAAACTAAGAAGTCTCAGAAAATAAAAAGGTATTTTGAAACAAATATGAGGCAGTTTCAGGGGAAAGTCGCCAATAATTTTTTTCCCCTTCACAAAAGCAGGAGGTACTCATATATATCATTGTCCAAAATCAGAACCAAGGCAATTCAAGCTGATTCTATAATCATTTCAATACCTAATGGAACCAGATGCACAAAACATAATTTTAGACCATATGCAGCCATCACTGTCAGCTTAATAAATTGATGCAACATCCCATCCATTTGAAAGTGGGACTTGCTAATAGATACTAAATGTTTAATCCAGTGGTGGGATTCAAATTTTTTTTTACTACTGGTTCTGTGGGCGTGGCTTGGTGGACATGGTGTGGCTTGATGGGCGTAGCTTGGTGGGCGTGGCAGTGGAAGGATACTGCAAAATCTCCATTCCCACCTCACTCCAGGGGAAGGATACTGTAAAATCTCCATTCCCTCCCCACTCCAGGGGAAGGATACTGTAAAATCTCCATTCCCTCCCTACTCCAGGGGAAGTTTACTGCAAAATCCCCATTTCCTCCCGATCAGCTGGGAGGCAACTCAGGAGGCAGAGAATAGATGGGGGAGGGGCTAATCAGAGGTGGTATTTAGCGGTTCTCCGAGCTACTCAAAATTTCTGCTACCGATTCTCCAGAACTGGTCAGAACCTGCTGAAACCCACCTCTGGTTTAATCTGATAAACAAAATGATCAACCAGCACATTTTCTAAGGCAGGAGGGCTGGATGGTATAATTTGTACCTACACCCATATCCTCACTGCATTATTGCCTTGTATGTTACCAGTGCAAAGTCCGTCAAGAGTAGAGTCATTATTTACCACAGGCAGTCCTCACTTAATGGCAGCAGTTGGGACTGACAACGCTGTTGGTGAGCAATGTAGTCATTAAGTGAAACATCACGTGACTGTACCAGACTTACATCAATTCCACTTCAGTTGTTAAGTGACAAAGTTTCCACCAGGGAATCTTGTATTAATGCTAAGAACTATTTTACGAACAATAAATCCAACTCTCCGTGCTGTGACAGCACTTCAGTTTTTGGAAATCTGCTATCACATATCCCCTTAGTTTAGGGTTTCTCCAGGGATGAAATCCAGCAGGCTTTGACAGGTTCTGGAGAACTGGTAGCAGAAATTTTGAGCAGTTTGAAATGCCACCTCTGGCTGACCCCAGAATGGGGTGGGAATGGGGATTTTGCAATACCCTTCCCCCAGGAGTGGGGTAGGAATGGAGATTTTGCAGTATCCTTCCCCTGCCACGCCCACCAAGCCACATCTCACACACACCAAGCCACACCCACAGAACTGGTAGTAAAAAAAATTAGATTTCACCACTGGGTTTCCCCATCTGGCAACCTGAAATTGTGGATTTCAGTTCCCAGAATTCCCCAGCCAGGAGTTCTGGGAGTTGAAGTCCACATATCTTCAAGGTCTCAAGGTTAAGAAACAGTGCGTTATCCTTTTCTTCTTTGAGCTAAACATACACAACTCTAGCACTGATAATGTTTCTTAGTTGAGTAACGAAAGATTTGCAAGAAAACAAACAAGGTCAGAAAGCTCCAAGGACCCCACAGTTGAGCCCTGAGCTATAAATATTCTCTTATATTGA